AAAATACAGAAAAATCGTGCATCAATAAAAAACCCATTGAAGGATTTTTGTTTCACTACTTCATAAGTATAGTTGGCATACGACGTTTATGATGAACGAATCCATATTAACTGGCGCTGAACAGACAGTGTCGTAGTGGTAAACCGAGATGTATATGGGAGGATTTAGTAGTACGGCTTCCGGATTTGTGTTTTGATAGGGGTCGGTGAACTCGGTTTTTTTTTTCTTTTTAAACTCTTTTACTGAGCAACAATACATTCAATTAGAATGCAGGAAGACATTGGTAATAATGAAGAAAGAGTTCGTTCGAAGTATCCAAACACATAAAAAAAACAGCAAAAATAACAGTAATTAAATAAAAAAACCTTAAGGATAAATAGAGTAAAATTATATCTTAAAGGTTACCGACGGTGATAAATAGACAGGACGTAGTCATTTTAAGATTTTTATTTTGCCGACATTTCAACCCACATGTTCGGTCATTATGAGGGCAAGTTTAATTCAGTTAACATAAAGGTTACTTATATGCACTATTTATAATCAGCCTACTTCAATCTTCAACTTAAAACAAGGCTTAACTCCCTCGAATTGATGGAGGAAAAGTAGAACTCCAGAAGATCCCGGCTCATTAAAATTAAAAGTCTATTGAGTGTGAAAGAGTGTTCAACAAGGCAGTTTACACAGTTAATGGTAACGAAATTGAACCTAGATTTTTCAATTCATTATTATAAATGAAAAACAGGGCTTCCACGTTCATAAGTATTACAAAAAAAAAACTATAAAACAATGCTGTGTTTTATTATTTCTTCACCATATTTATTTCAGTCCACATCAGCTAAGTTTCGGCTAGTGAGCCATTTTATTTAATCATGCTTGTTAAGTATAAGTGTGCTTAACTTCAATCACACTTATACTTAACTTCAATCTGATTATGGACTAACCATGCAAGAAGCATGATTAAATAAAATGGCTAACTAGTCGAAACGTAGCTGATGTAGACTGAAATAAATAAATAAAATAAATATTTCACCTAAAATAAACAGGTAAATATGGGAAAAAAATTATTTCGCACAATGGGGATATAAAAGGATGCGTTGAAATCGCAAATATTATTTTACTTGAAACTATAAAATTTTCACTCAATACATCTCTGATGGTTGTCACTGCATTAATAAAAAAAAATATCATTTAACAATAAAAACAACCAAATGAGGTAATGACGATTTACTAGGATTTCTTCACGTAAAAGTATTTTTTTTTTTTTACTACATTTTCTTATGAAGAAAACCGCCTCAAATTTGTTTTCAATTTAGTTTATTTTCATAACTCCGCGGGTCGGAAAATGCCGAAAGAAAGAATAACCGGAAAATGAGTTATCATAGAACGTGCCATGAAAAAATAAAATAAAAAAAAAACTGCGGCACAAAAATGGGTTGCTAATAGGAAAAAATGAGGTTCCAGACAACAAAAGCTGCTCAACGATAAAGTTAAAAAAGGAATAAGTCGTGAAACGTGAAAAACTTTCTAAAAAATATTAACTATTGTTGCATTCTTTTAGGTTACATCTTTTTTTTACATTTTTTTTTTGTTTTTTTTTTGGAGTGGGGGAATGTTTTTTTATTCAATATTTATGCTCTTAGATTCTGCTCCCTTTTCTCTAGGCTTTGAATCTAGTTCACCGAGCAACCTGGATTTATAACTTGATAAAACCATTTCCTACATTAAAAACATACTTCTTTAGTTGAATATGTATAAGCGTGTGAACGAATAAATATACATATCGCTACTGTCAGTGCAAAAGGTCGTTAATAACAATTTTACATGTTTATTTCTTTCATTCTTTTTTATTTATCTTTGTCTTGAATCCTTGGATTTTTGTTGTCTTTTTAATAGTCCTCTCACTGCTAAAAAGCATTGTAAGGTGTATTTTGCTTTTTTTTTGTAGTTTCTGAGTATTTTTTCTACATGTGTAATACCTCTACTGGTCTTTAATACCAGTAGCACGACTGAGTGAGGGGCGCTGGGATCTCCTAGAGTCCTGCCTTTCCTTCCACGAGTGGAGAGAAAGGCTTAGCTCGGAAATCTTGAGTGAATGACTTTTTTTTTCTGTATTATTTATTTTTATTTATTGTGAATGTGCTCTTTGAACACTATTATAAATGTCCTTGATCGTGAAAAATTATAATATTTCCCAATAAATATGTTTAAAAAAAACAATCTGTAATATAATCAGTGTAATATAATGGGGCTCACCTCGTATTATATATGCGCTAAATGTGACATTATGTAGTCTGCTACTACTATTCGACCATACGAGAAGTCAACTAAATAGGAAAATAGCAGAGGGAAATAAAATATGAAATTATACTAATTTTTACATAAGATCTTTTGCACTAATAGTAACAATGTACATACTATGTATGTGTAAGGAAGAGATGTGGTCAACATTTAGGCTTAACTCACAGGTTTATATATAAATTTAGATGTGTCCCACTAAAAGATACATTTGTATAATATCATAATAACACTACAACGTTCTTAAATTTTGTTTATTATTTGAGTATTATATGTAACCAACAACATCCTATTTTGCCTAGACCTCACCTTGGAAAAAATCGTCGAATTACACGAGAACCTTACGTTATCATCCAAATCCCCTTGCACGATCGCTATTTAGCACCATACATACATAATAACGGAAATGTCTAGATTCTTTGTTTTTTTTGCACAGTCTCTAATATCTTGTACCATTCATTTCTGGATGGAGATTTAAACAACTGCGGCCAATAATGAAGACAAAAGAAAATTACTACTTACTTTTAAAAATGGTAATGAACTATTTTATAAGAGTTTACATCGTTTTTCTTAATATACTGCCTAAAATGCATCATTTGCCATTAGAGATAATGAATGCTCTTTATCCCAAATTAAATTAAGAAGATAGAAGTTAAATAGACACGAAAATAACTTTAGAGTATGATCGATTATTTCATAAAATACGTCATCAAATAACATAAATTATTTTTAAAATAAATGATGTAAAATACATATAAGGTTCGAATGACCTTCCTCAACCAAAATCAAACAGAATATTGATTTTAAATAAACATATGCAGGCTATATTTAATCAACTGAACAAATGCTTTTCACTTTCGTAATAAGGTTACATCGTATAGAAACAACATTATTAAAAAATAACTGATACGGTGTACCATATCACCGTAATAATTCCTCACTAGATATAGAGTGTTGCAGGTTAGAAGTAAGTATTAAAAAATTGTATTTTTTGTTTCAATACAATCCTCAGAAACGTAGGTGGAAGGAAGGCTTTGACATAATAATAAAGAACAATATGGAAATGTCTGAAAGTTTCAGAGAATACCTTTTAATTTAGGCTTCCAGTTGACAGAATGACTAACTTCAATTTCAACATTTTTCAGAAGTCATCTTAGTGATATTTCTAGTTGAAAAATTTATAATATCTGTACTGACAGTGAGTAAAAATGTTGAAATTAGAGTCATTCTGTCAACCGAAAGGCACAATTAAGCCCCACAAACAAATGCTTGTTAATGCTAGGAGTAGTGTTGCCCGAATTCGGTCTTGGTCTTGCACTTTGCAAGACCAAAACCAGAACTGGTAAAAAAAAATCGATTTTGTGAATACGAATCAAGGTGAAATAGTTACTAATACTTGACAATCTTAGTTAGTATATGTTAATAATTGGTATAACCAATATACTTTTGCATTTAACTCCTCTAACTTTTCATTCGGGCTTACTTAGGTTTCTCCTATCTAAGTAATATTCTTATATATAATATCCTTATAAGTTCTATATAAGTAATACAGTAATATCTCTATAGTAGTAAGCTAATAAGTAACTGCAAGAGTGTTGCGAGATTCTTGTGCAAGACCAAGACCATAACCAAGACTGAGTTTGGAAGACCAATACTCTTCTCGGTCTCGTATTTGGGCAACACTAGTCAGGAGTTTCAGTTAAAACTCAACAATTTTAACTGAAACTCTTTGCTGAACGCACTCCCCTGAAGAAGACCTGCCCAGTCGGGTCGAAACGTTGGCTTGAAATAAAATAGTTTTCCACTATTTTAGACTCATTATGACCGCCACCACAGACCATCTCCTTTCTCGAAAATATAAAACGCTCAACCATAAAGTATTCAATCAGAAGGTACTATTTCTTAATCAACGGTTGTGCAAGGAGGCGATTTGACTGAGATCACGCTCAACCGCCAGATTTTTTCCCTCAATTAATTACTTAATTAAGGGTACCCATATTAAAGAGGCTGGGTGTGCCCGAGGAGAGTCTGTTGATCCCAGGTTCATCCCATAGCTGATGAAAACAAATAAATATTCTTCCTACCTAGAGGCGAGATTCGGACCTGGGGCCTTGATCATTGGAAACTCAGTACCCTACTTTTTATTATTTAAATTTGAAATTTTGTATTTAGACCAGGCATCTAGATAACTAGAGGACCAGGGGAAAATTCCATTTTATCTATTTCAGCATTACCTTGTTGTTCCAGATTCTCTCCCTCCTCCTCCCCTCAAAGCTGTTCATGTTAGATCCTTAACATCCAACAAAATTTTCTTATTTTATGTTTTCGACATATAAATTTTTTTAAATGAGTCCACCATACATGACATGCCTTCATCAACAATTGGAATTCAGATGTACTAATGATCATAATGAATACTAAAATATTCCACTATTCTAGTTTCTAGCTCTACAACAGATCGGCATACAGGACCGAGCAGAGACATATCTACAGTATCCAACTCAAAATATTCTGATATTTGTATATAATATCTGTTATGTTTCGACCAACGACGATGAATGCCCCTGCTTCAACGTTAAATTATTCTTATATAAGGCCGTTTACCATATTGCCGAAAAGTGAAGACGCTTAACGCAACGAAAGTTGCACCTCTCTCATTCCCAGCCGAGGTGTCCTGGCCATTCGAATTTGTCAACAAAGACTCATCACTTTCCCAAAGGACGGTTCGAGAAACCTCCTGGTCGGCCTAATGGTAGGTAATACCTCAAGAGAAAGTTACGGTAAGGCACCAAACTTCTTCCTCTGGTACTCTTTATCTCGTTAAAACCCGTCCGCCTGTCTCCGGCGACCTTTACCTCAGGAGGAATGGTTATGGTTTTGCCAAACGGTCCCACAAAGGACTGTAATTTATTGTCATCAAGCAATCGTACCTTCTAAAAAAACCGTCAATCAAAAAGATGTTTTACCGTCTGTTTTTAACTTACACAACCATTTGTAAAATAAGCTATTTTGTAACTAGTGCGTACCGACGTAATATCCTCAATTCCTAGGTCTTGTTCATACTTCATCTTCTTCTCGGATCTAGACCTAGAGTCGTAAGGTATAGTAGAAGGCATTCTACTGACATAAACTAACAACATAATTGTAATATATAAATAAATGTAATACAATTTTTGTTTACGGTATTGTTTTAAAATATTCACAAAATCTCCCTGAGTAATTTGAACCATTTAACTTTAAAATCGGTCTAACTTTTCTCTCGAACCGAAGCGCAATATTGTTTTAAAAGATGTAGTCAGTATAAAATAAACAGAGAGCAAATAAAATAACAACTAAATAATAATAAAAAACTATGTACAATAAAAAAATAAATAATTAAAAAAAAAAGAGATATGCCTATATGCACTATTCACAATCAGGCGAAGATCTCCAAGGCAAGGTTGACCAGCCAACTACAGTGGGAAAAGCAGGACTGCAGGAGATCCCTGAGCTATTCTCTTAACCGCGTTTAATAAATTAAATCTGTTTCTCTAATATAGAATATCTTTAAGGATAATAAGATATAAGATCATATATCTAATGTGATAGTTATCACTCGGGTACAAAGATTCATTGTAATTATACGGCATTATATAATTAACGAAAACGTTCGTATTATCATTATTATTTTTTGTTCCGAATAGATATAAAAAAAAAGAATTATGAAATCTGAGAAAAATTCAAATTGTGGTAAGAATCGAGTTTCTTTATTTTTGTTTTTGTTTTATTCTACAACCTGAAAGACCTCAAAACTAGAATTTATTAATTTCATTGTTACATATTTGTTTTTCTGAGAGAAATACTTCAACATTTATATGTTCTCTTTTTAAATTATAACGGTAAATCCAATGCTTCAGCTACTATATATAAGCACGTATAATATATAAACATATATAAATGATTTCAAAAATCATTGCCTTTCTTTAAATTAACGTTATTAAGAAAAGAGAAAAAAAAGCCTTTTCAAAATTAAATTCTGGATTCAAAATTAAACCACTAATGAAAATCCTTAAGCTTCTTGTATCAAAGTAAATTAAAAAGTGAATTTAATAAAATTGAAGCACCTTCAGGACTAATAGTGTTTAAAAGTCCTTCCTTTTACAAAAATGTTGCATTATGTTTTGAGGTATGCTGAACACGAATCCAAAATCAGAAAATCTCAATCAGACACCATGTCATGTTGTCAAATTTGTGTTGTCGGTCAAAAAATGATGTGTTATTCAACATGTTGGTATTTTTTTTTTAACAATGAGCATTTAAAAAAAAAATAACTTGTGCTGACTACTGTTGGACAATGCAACAGGAAACAGCTGATGAACACTATAAAATGAAAAAATAAAAACATTGACTAGGCATAATAGTCCACGGTATACAGCCCATTTTATAAAATTATTAACATCCACCTGAAACTTCGTAAATAGCTTCATCTCATCGTAACCTACAAATATTATATTTACGAAAATTCTGGCAATTGGGGCGTTTTCAATATGCAGGTCGGCAAACTGTTATATATTTAATTAGGTACTAAAGTACTCGTAAATGACCATTTGCTTTCCACTTGAATCCTAAGATACTTTGAACAAAAAGAAAAAAGGTGGCCTTCAAAAATATTGAACCGTTTGGCATGACCTATACCCCCGAATTGTTAAAATAACGAGGTTACATAGGCCAAACGGCATAATATTTTTGTAGGCCACCCTTTTTTTTTTTTTATCGATTTGGTAATCAAATAATCTTACAAACCAAATGGAAAGCAAATGGGTATATACGAGTTTTTATTGTCTAATTAAATAGATAAAGTTTGCAGACCTCCAGATTTAAAACTCCCCAATTCCGAGAATTTTCGTAAATAAAATATTTGTAGATTACGATGAGAATAAGCTATTTAGTTTCAGCCGGATGTTAATAATTTGATAAAAACGGGTCTGTACATGTTTTTTTTATTAGACAATGCAGAACACTAGCGGATCCAGGATATAATTTTGGCTTCAGCCCGAAACCTTTTTATTTCATAAAAATAACGATAATTACTTTGGAAAAACAGAAAGAAACTAACTACCTATATGAAATGGTGTTTAAGTTATTCCTTAAGTACTTTTAAATGTAATTACACGTACAATAAAACTTTAAGAGGTATTTTTAAAATTTTTTTTCCCATAAAACATGGTTACATTTTTCCATTTTGGGGGGGCTTCAGCCCGAAAGCCCCCCCGTAGATCCGCCCGTGATGCAGAATAAAAACATATACAAAACCGCGCTTGCAAATACCGTTATTCCTTCCTCTTTTCCTAACTTCCCATCTTTCATTCGAGTGTAAACTTTTGCAGGAACCAAACCTTTCACGATCTCCTAAGGAAATGCAGGACTTCTTTCAACAAGCGGAAATAACAAATGCCAGGAACTAGATTACACGAAATCTTACGGCTTTTGTCGAGTTTGATGTTGCTATAAAATCTTGTAAATATTAATATTTTTGTAAAATAAAATAAAACAGAAACCTTTGAGTACTTTGTTAAAAATATTATATTTCCCATTATGGTTCACGATATACATAATAACCTGGTAGATATAACTTTTTTTTTGTTTTGGCATTATAGATCATGTATATCTTTGCCGCCTTAACAAGCCTGCTCCATCTCTGCCTGTCTTTGGCTATGTCTTTCCATTTATCTGCACCCAGCTCTATAGCATCTTTGTAGATTCTATCTATCCATCAGCTTTTTGGCTTTCCACGTGGTCTTTTGCCTTCTATTGAGGCATTCATTGTTACGTAGAGGCTTCCAGATGGATTGCTAAGAGCTACATGCAGCGCCCATCTTAACCTCCGTACCTTCATATCATGGAATATTGATTCACAGGCTTCTGTAAGCAGTTCATTATTGGTCTTTCTTCTCCATGTGTTAGTTCTCTGATCCCAGATCCCTCGGTTATCGTGCTGAGAATTTTTCTCTCAAATTTTTAAATACTTTTTTCTAGGGTGCTGGTTAGTGTCCAGGTCTCACAGCCATGTATTAGAACTTGCTTTATCATAACATTGTACATCCTTAATTTGAGATTGCGGGATATAACTAATATATTACTTAATAAACTACAACAAAAAAAAAAATTAAAAATTGGGCATCATAATTATGATTTGTGTTAAAAAGAAAAAAAAAATTTTTTAAATATATTTTTTAATATTTTTAAATTGCCTCCGGGTAACAGGATTGTACAGCAGCAGAATTCAATTGTGTTAGGTAATTTAAAATAATTTTTAAGAAATAATAGAATAGATAATGATCATAATGAGCAATTATCTATTTAGAAAGTATCAACCGTTTTTAAACATAATCTTGAAAATTAAATATAAAAATCAATATAAACTACATTAGGGCAAAGGCACCAATTATTGACACTTGTAACTTAAATTTGATAAATTAAACGTTTAGGTTCAAGTTGGATTTCAAACTTGGCGCCCTTTCAAAGAAACATTAATCAGCCAAGTTTGGAATCCTACATGAACCTTATTTCATCAAATTTAGGTTATAAGTGTAAATAATTGGTGCCTTTATAATATATATATATATATATATATATATATATATATATATATATATATATATATGTATATATATTGATATTGTATATATATGCACTTACATTCTGTGAACTAAACCTATTCATAGGACATCGACCTCGTTCTCTGAACGTCACCACAAAAGGTCCATAAATAAACAGTTATCCATTGTTATGAGAATTTGAATACCGTTAAAGAATAAGAAATAAATAAATATAATAAGTTCATAAGTGTAATACAAATCATTCACACATCTTCATGAACATTATTATGAAACCCAAAGAATAAATACAATATTTTTATCTGTATTTCCTGTCGAATAACAACCGTTATCAAAAGTTCCTTTCACTACCAAAACATATATTTTTCAAAGAAATGATTTAAATTAATATTTAACAAATAAATGTGTTGTTCGTTTATAGTTTTATGTAAAGCGTGGATATGGATTTTGACCATTTCCTTGCTTTATACATATTTTATTTGTAACAGTGAAATAAGACTAACAAGGAGGGGTTACGGACGTGAAGGTCACCGATTTAAATTAAACTTTTTTTTTTGGTGATACTAGGTTGAAAAATATTTGACTCAAGCCAGATTTTGATCAATAATGGCCTTAACATTGCTCGTTTCAATTTCATGTGGGCGACCAGACCGTTGAGTATCATTGATGTCAAAATTTCCTGAATGAAATTTGGCAAAAAAATTTTGAAAGGTGCGTTCGGTTAAGGCATCTTCCCCATAAACACTGCAAATTTTTCTATGAGCTTCTGCAGCACGCTTACCTTTTTTAAAATAATGGAACAAAATATGTCGATAATGAATGATATTTTCTACCATATTTACAGTGCAATAGCAAACACAATACTAAGCTAGTTTCAACAAGACTTAACAGATATAGTTGTCGACATATTACAAACATGATAAACAATACACCTTGGGGATTAATTCATCGGATAAGAAGTGTATCATAGCGACATTAAACAAAAACCGAAAGGATTTATTTCCCAACCCAATGCATAGACTGTGAAAACATTATATATTTATTTTAAGTTTGTACAGTTTTTTAACATTTTTTATTTTTAGCTGGAAAAGTTATAGAAATGTAAGTATATCATGAAGGCTGTCTCCCGTTCGTTATGTTGAGTAATAATTATGTTGAGTTTTTAAACATCATATAAAATAACGCCATTTTATTTTACTTTTTTTTTTTTCTTGTCCACCTCCTTCTCAATCGAAATGGAAAGTCTTTGCCAATGTTTTTTACAGATATTTCATATGGATGAGACAGATATGTGAGGTTCTGCAAGGATGAATTTTTATTCCTTCAAGAGTATTCCAAGGCAAGAGCCCAGCAACGAGTAGGGAGTGTGTTAGCTATGACGAAATAACAGTGGGAAGTACAAAGAAGTGTGGGACTAAAAAATTAACAATCATCCCATGCCGAATCGATACATGCATATTACAACGGTTCTTCACAGGTATGTTATATCGGTTTTACATTAAATATATATAAGGTATTGAAAGTAAACGGATAGTAACAGAATAAGGGGATGATCTAAAAGTTAAATAGACGAATAAGAGAATGAGGCATCCTCAGAAGTGGAATCTAAAACTAAGATTACATAAATAGGTTCACATGTACCATATAAATTTTCGAACTGTTGCCGCTAGACTTTCATGGTTTTAAAAAAATTGTTCAAAAATGAAAGCACGTCGTTCGCTCATATAACGCTCCATTTTTACTAACCCTAAAATATCAGCTGTTAAATTGACTAAAAAAAAGAAAACAAAAGAAGAAAGAACTGTGTTTTATATTTAATTTAAATCTTGCACTAATTTTAGGATGCCTTATATAAACGTATACCAGGTTGCCTTGGTGCATTTCCTAAAAAAAAAAATTATGAAATACGACCATTTTACTTTATTTTAGAGATAAACCTTATCGGTTATACATCGTTTTAAAACATATACATATAAAGAAATTTAAACCTTATGTGTAAAAATTTATCCGTTTCCCTCTGCATTGCCAAGTCATCTTAGGTATCAACGCGCATACACGTCTGCATCTCTGGCTGATCTACTAGTCCGAGAGCCCGAGAGAAAAAAAATCGACATTATTTGATGAAAACTTTAAAAGCATTTTTAAAAATATTTATAACATTTTTATTTAAAAAATGAGAGTCTGCAGTTGAATATTGCTACCTGTAAAAATGGCGGCTGATTTAAAGAATACCAGTAAAACTTAAGAATCGAAACGGAAAAATCATAGTGAATTTTTTTTATTTTTGTATATATTGGTTGAGACATGTAAAAAACAAAATTGCTAACGCGGGCCACCAAGAAAAACTTTTTACACCCAAAAAATTCCGATTTTTTTTTTGGTTTTTCACCTATAACTCCTAAACTATGCATCAAAGCGAAAAATGTACTCTTTAAGAAATTAAAGAACGTTAAATTGTGCGTGGAACGAGTAATTAAACTTAATAATTTAGTTAAGTGGTATGATCGATAACCACGGTTAACCAACGCTGATTTTTATCAAATTCGTCAAAAACTGATACTAATTACTATAAATGGCGCAGAGACTTGCTAAAGAGTTCTCTAACGAAACTAAAAATCATAGAATAAAAGTTGTAGAGCATAAAATTCCGCGTTCACTTAATACCAACAGTTTTAATATAAGTCACTTCACTCCGCTCGAAATCGGTAGTGAATAGCGATGGATGGTAGTAATTCGTAATGAAGATAATCTGTAATTTTAAATATTTCAGTAGTATGGGTTTCTTATTCTATTGAGTTATTCTTGTTAAAGAGTCTAATATATACAGTACAGGTCTCTTTTCCACAGCGAAGGATTTTGAGAAATAAGTTATTAAAAAAAATCCGAATTTCATGAAGAAATAACGAATCCCGATTTAAGAGATACAATTGGTCTACATTAAAACATTTGCAACTCAGTGGACGCGAAATTTGATGCTCTACAATTTTTATTCTATTAGTTTTTTTCTCATAGAGAATTCATTTCCAAAGTTTTCATAGTAAAGTTTGTGACGAATTTGGTAAAAATCAGAGCTGGTTGACCAAGGTTATCTACCATACCACTTAACCAAATTATTAAGTTTAGGAATTTGTTCAACGCACAATTTAAGGTTCTTTAATTTATTAAAGAGTACGTTTTTTGGTTCGATGTACCGTTTAGGAGTTATAGGTAAAAAAGGAAAAGAATATTTTTTTCAAATATTTTTTATTTGTATAAATCATTGCGAAAAATGTTTTTCGCAATGATTTTCCTTTTCGATCTTCAAGTTACTGGTCTAATATTCTTTAAATCTACCGCCATACAGGTAGCCATATCCTACAGGCACTTTCATTTTTTAATATAAATATTATAAACGTTGAAAAAAAATTCTTTCAAAATTATCATCAAATAAAATCGATTTTTTCTCACGGAATCTCGTCGGACTATATGGGGAGAAGAGAGGGGACTGAAGTCACCCAAAATGGAAAAAACAATTTTTTTTTTCATTGGTCCAGAATTGTTTCTGTAAGTGAATTACATAAAAAATCACAATATGTTTTCTTCTTTAATTATAAAGCATAAGCAGCTAGCTACTCAATCTAAGAACATGTCAAGAAAAGCACTATTATTCCTAAAAGCACTATTAGTTCTGTAATTACCTTTTTTTTTATTAGCCCTTTAAGGACCACTTATATAATATTTTATATAGTTATTTCCTTTCCTTTCAGAGTCATTATCGTTATATTGAAAAAAAAAAAAAAAAAAAAAAATATTCTTGTAGCTCAGTATTGCCTGAGCAATATTAATGTTTTGTTTATTTACATTTCGAAATAGGGAGTAAATTATTTTCAGTGAATAAAGAAACTATTTTAAGCATTTAAAAAACGAGCAGAAACCAGAATTTTATGAGAAAACTTAATGCCCCGATCATAACAATATTGAATTGTATTATTTACTTAAAAACATAAACAAAGCTAATTCTTGAAATAAACTCATACTGTTCACTACTGAATAAATAAACTATGCTTATGGACATATTGGTAAACAACTAGTTAGAGAACCATTTAGGATACATACATCCTTTTGTTATTAAAATAAAACCAATTTTAATTTAGGAAAATTTAACATAAGACATATTTGTTTCATCATAGAAATATAAATTATAAATTAAGCCATGAATTCCCGAAATACTATCTTATTCCTTTTTATTTATGAATATTTATTTTATATTTATGTTTTTTATTTATTAATAATTAATTTATATAATTATTATCTACCCTGGGGTGATCAACGTTTCTATAATGTGTTCCTCCACCAACTTGATTATTAAAATGTTTTAAGTCCCAATAAAAATTACACAGTATCTTTAATATAGTATCTCTAAATCTTTAATATAGTACAATAAAAAAAATAGATATTGTGTTGTCCTTTTTAAAGGGTATTGTTTCTAGGACACTATAGGGCTAGGAGGTGATTTGGTCGAGAACACGCTTAACTGCCAGGTTTTAAGAAATTCCCTTTATTGAGACAAGGTTTGCCCCAGAAGAGATTCCCGACCTCAAGGTGAACCCACGACTAATGCAATAGAGAGAAGCACAATAAAATTATACGGCTACTCAACTATGTTCAGTTGCTAAATCATCCATCATACTGATTAGTCTTAGTAGATAATATTTAATAAAAGAGAAAAAAAAGGGTAAAATATTACAGGATCATCATATAGAGTACTAAATGTTCTCATTTTCTTCCCTCGGACTTCTGTCCATAGATTTCACAGCAAAGTATCCAGCATTAATAAAGGTAGTGGTGCAGGACTCCTAATGAGTCAAAAATAATAAATTCTGCCATACTTTGCTGTTCTTTTACATACCCAGCTATTCCAAAAAATCAGCAACTGAAGGTGGATTAGCAGTTCTACTGTAATTACTGCGGTATTGCTGTTCTTCTGAAACATAGTCCCCGAACCAAAAATTCTCTCTCAATATTTCTCTTGTAGGTACGGTATGCATTTATATAGATTTTATCTTTTTCTTTTTATACTTTGAAATCTTGTTTCTCATCGTTTGTTTCAAATCTAATAGTAGGATCAATTATCAGAGCCTCTTTTTCTTTTTCACTAAAGGCTAAGTAGGATATCTACGAATCTCTCTGAGCCGTCCATATCAAGGAAAAACACTTTGAGGAAGCATCTATACTTTTTTATTGTGACGGGTGACAAGGAGTATGTTATTCGGACATTTGCCCAATACATGAGCCACATTTGTGGCAAGTCCGTAATTAACTGTCACAACCAGACTTGAACCTAGGACCTAGATTATGACCACAGTGTCTTACTAATTAAGTACCGCACTCACAAAATTATCTTTATGCTGTCACATTATTTCAGTTTTTTTTTTTCTATTAAGTCAAAATATTTTGTCCTCTGAGAAAAAGATAAACTAAAACTGATTATTTCCAGAACCAGTTATTATGAAGCAAAGGTGAAAAAAAAAAATTGGGAAAGATTGAATAAATTATTAATTTTTTAATAAATAATAAAATTTAAAAAACAAATTATAAATCTATGAGGTGCCCATATGTCAATTCCAAACACCCAACCCAAGAGCATATCTGACTTAAGATAAATAAATAAAAAATCTTAATATTATATTATGTAATTATAATTATTGATTAGATATATTTTTAAATTCTAACACATCTAGGCAAAAGATAGAGTGAGAAAAAAATAAAACGATTTAGAACATTCAAAAACATAGAGCTTTCCCATCAACATAAGATAATTGTCAAATATATTTGCAATCGTTATATAACAATCGTTAATCATGGCAAAATTATATTAAATTCCAATAGTCATCAGATCCAAATCAATCTGGTTGGCTAAATAAATGTTAACAATGCCCTTCCAAATCTACTATGAAAACAGAATGTATATTTCTGAGAGAAAAATTAATAAAATGTAAAACATGGATGTTATCTGCCTTTTTTAGAAAATATAAAAAAATTATCTTTCATAGAAAGAAGTATTGGTTCACAATGTATTCAAATATTAGCACAGGTAACGTGACAGCTTTAAAAGAAGAATGGATATCTCTTTTTTAAAAATTAAATGATGTAAAAATTTCAAAGAAAGACGAATCTTTTATACCCTTATGGATGAGGATAACAACCGAGGGTCCCAGACTGCCCTTTTGGAACATTTTGAATTTGATTCCCACCTAGGTCAGCAAATTTTTAGTGGTTCCAAGAAACAAATCTTGACATTGCCTTACTAGTAACTATGTGATCGCAACTTCTAGCTAGCCATCAGAGAGACCACAACGGTCATTTATGGGACTAGTTTTCCCACCAGTACTAGTAAAAGTACAACAATGGGTGGATGTTAACAAATAAACAGGTAATATAAATAAATATTATAACAAAACATCTACCAGACAACTATAAAATTATAATTTAGGTCAA